GGTGCTGGCTGTAACTTTGCACTCAGCTGCTCTTCCCTAATTCCTCGTTTTTTTTTTTTTTTTTCCTGGAAAAACACAAAGGATTTGTTGAAAACAGGGAATTCTTTGTTTTCTCTGGAGCCTCGATGTTTTTCCTCACTGGGAATTCCCATTCCCAATCCCTCTGGAATATTCCCAAACTCCTTCCCTGCTTTTTCTGCTTTTCCCCCTCCTTTTCCAGCCCTGCTTGGAAGGATTTTGCTGTGGATTTGCTGTTGGTGCAAAAAAACTCTGGGATTTATTCCCTGCTTTTGGGTTGGGATGAAATTCCTGAGCCAGCTTGGGAATTTTTTTTTCCTCAAAAAACAAATTTACAGACAAATTCCACTCGATTTTTTTTTTTTTTCCCGTCAGCTGGAGGTGGCAGAGCTCCCTAAAAATCTGCTTTTGCTGCCTTGGAGGTGTTTTCCATGCAGGTTTTGGGATGAAGGGAAATTGGGAAAAAATCCTGCCTGGAATTGGAGCATCCTGGGATGGTGGGAACTGTGGGATTGAAGCTCCTTTCCCACCCCAAGCGTGGCATTCCATGAAAATCCTGGAATTTTCGTGGAATTCCCTGGCCTGGGAGGATCCAGAAGAATTCCCAGTGGATCCCAGTGCTGGAATCTCTGTAGGAGCCACGTTGGGAGAGGAAAGAATCCATCCCAAACCCACAGAATTCCATGGAATTCTGCTCTTCCCCGTTGTTCTCTTCATGACTTGTACCTAAAATTCCCAGAATTTCGGGCCTCCCATTTTTTTTTTTTCCTCGGGGTTCCAGCACATTCCAGATTCCCCTGGAATTTGGATCCAGGCTCCTTTTCCCATCCCTGCTGCACAGAGTGGGAATTCTGTGAGCTCTGCTGCTTCTCCAGGAGAGTTTTCCTGGAAAATCTTTGGGATTTCCACGTGGGAGTTGCATGGCTGGGACTGGGATTAATTCTCCTGTGCTGGCAGAAAACGTTAAAATCCGAGTTTTGTGTTAAATTTTCACCCTAAAAAAAAAAAAAAAAAAACAAAAAAAAAAAACCAAAAAGAGCAATTTAATCATTTTAGAGTTTGGAATAAAACCCTGTGCTGTGGTTTCACCCACGCTTAGGTGGGGCTCGATTTCCTTGCCTTTTGCTCGGAAATTTCGGGAATCACAAATTATTTTACACCAGCCAAATTTAGGAATAAAGAATTCCTGACCCCAGCATCCCAAATAAACCCCAGAACTGCCGAGGAGCGGCTGAAAAATCCGTTTTTTTTTTTGTTTAACTACACGACCTCACCCTCCCATTTTTTTTCCCTTGCTTTTCCCATTTTTTTTTTTTTTTTTCCCCCTGCTCCGGCTGGGGCCGGCCGCTCATTTTTGCCGTCTGTGCTCTCTCTAGCAGGCGGCGCGATCTCGGAGTTGCTATGAAGATTCTCCCCCCGCCTCTCCCCCTTCTCCTTTCCTCTCCCGGCTCTCCCCAGCGCTGTGGAATTCCCAGCTGGGACTGGCACAGACCGAATTCCATGGATTCAGGGCGGGGATTTGGGGCAGGAGAGGCTCTGGAAGAGGGAGCGGCCTCCGTCCTCCTGCTGCCCCTGCACGGACCTGGCACAGCTGGCACAGCTGGAGAAGGCTCGGACTGAGCTCCACTTGGGAATTTTGGGGACAAATCCCTGCTCCGAAGTGACCTGAGCCCCTTCCCTGAGCTCCTTTCGTCTCCCAAAATCTCTCATCATTCCCGGATGGAAGAACTCCCCAGGGTGTGAATGTGGATTCCTGCCAAGCCTCCCTTTTCCAGCTGGGAATTCCCATCTGCCTCAGCCCATTCCTGCCCAGATTTTCAGGAATTTCCAGTGGGATGTGAGGAGTTGGAATCTGCTTTGCTTTTGTGTTTATTTTTCCCACTCTGCCAGTGGCAGAAGGAGCAGGTTTAGATAAAAATCTTATTTTTCCAGTGGTTTTATTTTTTTCCCAGCCTGTGATTCCCAAAACTCTGCTGGAGTTCCCTCCTGTCCTTTCCGGTGGTTTTGTTCCTTCTTTTCCCTGGGAAATTTTCCTTCAGGAATATCCGGGTTCCTCCTTCACCGGGAGATAAATTAAAACCAATTTTTTTTTTTTTTTTTTTTCTCAGAACTGAAACAGAACTTCTCCAAAGGTTTTCTAATTTTTCCCACTTCTGGGTTAAAAATGGAAGCTGGCAGCTCATTCCCAACCTTTTATTCCTTCAGGATTTCCTGGAGCAATAGGAATGGCACTTTCCCTGTCCAGCACCCACAGCCTGGCCCTTCCTGATAAAAGGAAATTTCATTCCCAAATCCTTTTGTTTTATTCCCCAGACTTGGGAGTTTCATTGCTCTCAGCGTTCCCCTGGGTGGAATTATTGAGATTATCAGGTGTTATTTAAATTTCCTGGGCGTGCAGATTGAAAAACGGGGAAGAGAGGAAACTTTTGGAAATCAGAGGTTTTGAAATTTTTCGAAGCTTTGGGGACTCTTGGCTTCATTTTGGGAAATTTATAACCATGAGTGTAAAATTCCTTTTATTTTTATTTTTATTTTTTTTTTTTTTGCTTGTGGGGTGACTCTGCCATGCCAAACCCACCTGGGGTGCTGGGCCTGAGCCCCCAAATTCAAAATGCACAGGCCCAGGCTGGATTAAAGCATTGAATTCACCCCGAACTCAGCTCCCCCTGTACAGTGTAAATGCCCTGCCTTGGTTTATTCCCATCCTCCTTTTACTTCCTGCTTCATTCCCATCTTTATTTTCTTTCCCAGTTTATTCCCATCTTTATTTTTTTTTTTTTGTTCCCATCCTTATTTTATTTTCTGCTTTATTCCCATCTTCATTTTATTTCTCACTTTGTTTCCTTCCTTATTTTCTTTCCTATTTTATTCCCATCGTTATTTTATTTCCTGATTACTCCCATCCTTATTTTATTTTATTTCCTGCTTTCTTCCCATCCTTATTTTATTTTTTGTTTTATTCCCATCCTTATTTTATTTCCTGATTCTTCCCATCCTTATTTTACTTTTTTTCCTGCTTTAGTCCCATCTTTATTGTATTTCTCACTCTGTTCCCATCCTTATTTTATTTCCTGTTTTTTCCCATCCTTATTTTTATTTCCCCATTTATTCCCATCCTTATTTTATTTTCTGTTGTATTCCCGTTTTATTTTATTTCCTGATTATTCCCATCCTTATTTTATTCCCTGGATTTGTACGATATCGGATCAGCTCCTGCACTGGTGGTGGTTCTGTGTTTGTAAATAAAGAGGTACCTTCCATTTCCTAAAATCCACGGGTAAATCTTGGCTTTTCCATGGAAAACTTGGGATTTTCTGTCCTGCTGGAATTCGGGAATCCTTCAAACTCGCCGTGTTCGGGGTTTTTAGAGAAACTTTGGTTGAAGGGAGAGGAGTGAAACCAAACCCTGAGTGCTCTGGGAATGGAATTCCTGGAGAATCCATGGCTGCCCCATCCCTGGAAATGTCCCAGGCCAGGCTGGACGGGGTTTGGAGCACCTTGGGGTGGTGGAATGGATGGGATTTAAATCCCAAACCCGTCTGGAATTCCCAAATCCCTGAGCGCACTCAGAGCCGGGCTGGGAAAAGGAGCCCTGGGATTTGGGATGGAAAATCCTCCTGGAGCTTTGGGAATTCTCCAGCTCAGTTTAAGGAGTGTGAGGAAGGGGGGAGTGGATCCTGATGTTCAGCAAACCCAAATCCCTGTGGGAATCCAGGGATGCCCATCAGGAGACTCTGATTATGGGATGCCCTTCCCATAAAATCATGGTCAAAATCTATGGAAAACATTGAACTTTTTGATGGGTTCCTCCGTGAAAAAACCTGGATTTTCCAGGGAAGGACACTCCAGCAGTTCATTATTTTTTTGGGATGCTGGAGCAACGTGTGGATCTCACCGGAATCTCTGAGGGTTTTCCTGGGATGGCAGCGTGGGAATGATTCCTGTGGATCCATCAGGGAAAGTTTGGGGTCGGATCCCTTGGGAATGAGGGTTCTGGGAGCTCTCCCCATTCCTGTGGCTCCTTCCAAGGCTGGGAATTTTATCCAGAGCCTCTCCCCAGTCCCTCAGGATTTGCTGAGGGTTCTCCCTTGGAATATTTTGGGGTTGTTGTGCTGTGATGTCAGAGCTGCTCCCATGGGAACAGCCCCAGGGCCTGGTGTGGGCACGGAGCCAAACCAGCTCAGACCACCCCAGATTCCCATGGATCAGCCCAGATAGAGGTTGGAATGTTTGGGGTTGGATTTGGGGAGAGCTCCAGACTCTGGGATGAGTTTGTAGAAGTCAGGGTTGGACGGGGCCTCCGTGAGGAGTTGGGGATTTTGGGATTTCCTCACGCTCTCCACAGCATTATTTGGGAGATTCCAGTGGTAATTCCTGCTGGAAGTTTGGGGTTTGGTGGGAAAATGAAAGTGGAGCTGCTCCTTTCCTAGCGGAAATCCATCCAAAATAAAATCCATCTGAAATAATGTGGGAAGTCTCACAGAGAGGGGAGAATTTCACTCCTAAATTGCCAAACACGCCCGAAACTGATGGAATTTGGGCAGAGTCGGATTGGATCCAATGGATCAGGACATCCTGCTGTCCTGTTCAAAGAACATTCCCGATGGAATTCCTGGAATTCCTGCCCTGCTGGATCCAGTAACTCCTTGCTGTGTCTTTTTTTTAGCTGTGCCTCCGGCTCCACACCTGGGAGGATTTTCCCAGGTGGAAAGATTAGTTGTGGTGGGATGTCAGAGACATCCCGAAGAATCTGGAAGATTCATGGAATGATTCCGGGGAGTTCTGAGCGCTGAAAAACCAAAAACCCTCAGGAGATGGAGCAGAGCCCCATGGGGGTGATCCTGCTGTGTGCCCTGTGCATTCCGGCCGCGCTTCCCTCGGGATTGGAGCTTCCTTTGGGATCGGGATCAGAGCTTCCCTCAGGATGGGGATTGAGATCAGGATCGCAGCTTCCCTCAAGATCGGGATCAGAGCCTTCCTCGGGATCGGAGCTTCCCCTGGAACCGGGATCGGAGCTTCCCCTGGGATCTGAGCTTCCCTTGGGATCGGAATCGGGATCGGAGCCTCCCTTGGGAGCAGGATCAAGCTCAGAGCCTCCCTTGGGATCGGAGCTTTCCCCGCTATCGCGATCAGAGCCTCCCTCGGGATCGGAGCCTCCCTTGGGATCTGGATCAAGCTCAGAGCGTCCTTTGGGATCAGGATCGAGCTCAGAGACTCCCTCAGGATCAGAGCCTCGATCGGGATCAAGCTCAGAGCCTCCCTTGGGATCGGAGCCTCCCCTGGGATCAGGATCGAGCTCGGAGCCTCCCTCGGGATCTAGATCAAGCTCAGAGCCGCCTTTGGGATCGGGATCGAGCTCGGAGCCTCCCTTGGGATCGGAGCCTCCCTCGGGATCTCCGCCGGTGCCGCTGGGGCTGAAGGCCATGGTGTTGGTGAACTCCACCCCGTGCAGCGTCACCTGCGGGCTGGGCGTGAAGGAGGAGCAGCGCTGCGAGGTCACCCCGGCCGGGGAATACCGGAATTGTTCCCTGCAGCTCTCCCGCTGCCTCAGCGATTGGATCTGCGGCCTCCAGCACCTCAGCGTTCCCGAGGGAAAACCCTTCCAGCTCACCTGCCTCTCCCCGGAGGCCGCCAGGTTGGAGGGGCCGAATTTCGGCTACACCTGGAGGTTCTCACAGGGGCTCATCACCACCAACGACCTCCTGTTCCATCCCATCCGCAATCCCCGCCCTTCCCTGCGCTTCTCTCCCGCCCTGGAGTCGCATTCCGGCACCTACCGCTGCGACGTGCAGGTGCTCAGCTCCTTCCAGCTCGTCAAGAGGATTTACTTCGGCCTCAGGGTGATCCCCAGGGGTCTGGTGCATCTGGATTTCCAAAAATCCCTGACCTGGGAGCAGCAGCTGGCGGCCAGCGGGGAGGAGGCGCCGGCAAACGGCAGCGGCCCCGCGGAGCCGCAGCGGAAATTTTGGGTGGTGCCGTGGCTTTCCGAGGCCGTGCTGGGGCTCAGCAGCGGCGTCACCGTGGGGATCCTGGTCAGCATCGGCCTCTGCTGCCTGGGCAGGGTGCGCAGGAAAAGAGCGGCAGCGGAAATGAACGGGGATTGACGCCATTCCCTGCCTTTGGCTCTTTATTAGGAGTCCAGGAATTCAGGGTGGGGTTTTTTGGGATCGTCCACTGTTGGATTTTGGTGATCCTCCCAACTCAGGACATTCCATGGATCCCGTGATTATTTATTGGGATATTTATTTTCAATAGACATAACTTAAAAATGGATTTTTTTTGGCCACTTTGGAGCTTGGATTAGGAATTCAGGAATTCAGGATCCGGCTTTGGGATTGTCCACTATTGGATTTTGGTGATCCTTCCCTCCCAACTCCAGACATTCTATGGATCCCGTAATTATTTATTGGGATATTTATTTTCAATAGACATAACTTAAAAATGGATTTTTTTGGCCACTTTGGAGCCTGGATTAGGAATTCGGGAATTCAGGAATTCAGGATCCGGCTTTGGGATCGTCCACTGTTGGATTTTGGTGATCCTTCCCTCCCAACTCCAGACATTCTATGGATCCCGTAATTATTTAATGGGATATTTATTTTCAACAGACATATCTATAAAATTAATTTTTTTGGCCGCTTTGGAGCCTGGATTAGGAATTCAGGAATTGGGATCATGCATTGTTGGATTTTTGTGATCCTTCCCTTCCAAATCAGGACATTCCGTGGATCCCATAATTATTTAACTGGATATTTATTTTCAACAGACATAACTTAAAAATGGATATTTCTTGGTCATTTTTGAATTAGGAATTCAGAATTTCACGATGGGATTTTTGGGATTGTCCACTGTTGGATTTTGATGATCCTCCCCTTCCAACTCAGGATCCTGTAACTGTTTAATGGGATAT